TGAAATTATGTGCTGTTCCATTGACAATTTTGAATCAAAATACACTCCCAGAATTTTTGCCCTTTCTTAAAAAACCGGTAGTATTCCTTTTTCAGTTCAAATGGGATCTACTCTATGGGCGGTTATTTGGGTTAAATAAAAGAATCTCGGTTAAATCTTAATTAAGTTTGAACTTGTTTCTAATCACCCAGTTGTTGACATAATCAATATACAAACCAATAGTGACAGCCAGATATGGACTCGGACCCCCCCTCCCTTCCCAATTAAAAATAAACAAATAAAACAAACAACAACCAGACAAACAGATAAACAAACAAACAAATAAATAAACAAATAAATACACAAACAAACAGCCACAACAAAACAAAATAAACTAGTAAAGAAACAAACAAACAAACAATTAAACAAAACAAAAGCAAAAACAAAGAAAACAAACAAAATAGTAGTATAAGCAAAAACGACGCCCCCCCCCTCTCCTCCGCGCTCGGTAACTACCCTACCTGGGCAGTCTCTACTCCGGGCTCAAAAGGTTTACTGATATAATTGTCTTCCCGTAGTTCCTTCAGTTGCTTTTGAATCCAGAACAAAGTGCAAAGCACCTTTAGGAACAGAGGACGGAAATATTCCATTTAGTGTTTTTGTACAAAGGAAAATCCAGACTCAGAGACTCAAAGACACTAACAACTTGGGCTTTGTTCAGTTGGATACATATAATTTCAATAAACAAACCTGTTGGAAAAGAAAACAAGACTCAGTCAGACTTCCATGAAAGTAACCAAATAATGATTGTTTTCCATTTTCTTTAAAAGAAGGTTGAGGTTGTTGAATCGTTGTATCATTATCTCATTACTGTTCAATTATCTTTTTGTGTCAATCGCTATTAGAATCTCTTTTATTACAAACCCCCAACAAAACCATGTTGTTGTTTTTTTAAACAACAAAATGAGTTCATATCTCTGGTACATTATTAGAACGAACAGGAAAGGAAACGGAACAAACCCAAAGTATTGCCCAATGCATCATGATATCATGGTTAAGAAGACCTTCATTAACCCCCTTGCCTCAGCATGCCCTCTATCAGCAAAACCCGCCCATCCTGTTCTGATAAACGGGACATGCCACGAGATTTTATCGATCGCGCAGAACGAGCCTTACAGGCTCTTATTCAATTAATGATTTATCACCAGCGGATGATCCTTTCTTCACAAACACAAACCATCCCGACGTTCGGTGCCCTCTCCCCTTCTCTTCTAGTTGTAGACAATCATTCTTCCTAACATAGCATCTTCCTCCTTTTATTCCTCCCTCTTTTCTCAATCAGACCTACGTCCGTATTTCCATCTCCCGTCTCCTAAAAAATACTAGCTCCCCCCTCTTTTTAGCTCCTCAATGCCCCAAAAAAGAATCATCTCTCTCTCTCTCTCTCTCTCTCTCTCTCTCTCTCTCTCTCTTTCTCTCTCTTTCTCTCTCTCTCTATCTTTCTCTCTCTCTCTTTATCTCTCTCTCTCTCTCTCTCTCTCTCTTTATCTCTCTCTCTCTCTCTCTCTCTCTCTCTCTCTCTCTCTCTCTCTCTTTCACACGCACACACACACTAGACTTTCCCCTCTTTTCTCTCCTCTTTGCCGAAACTCGCCTTGCCTACTCTCCACCGACTCACCTCTGGGTCGGAATACCTAGCTCTCTTTATTCCACATTTACTTATCCGTATTCTCCTCTTAAACTACATACAGCCCCCCTCTCTCCTGCCCAATCTTTTTTCCTTTCCCTTCCCTCACCCCCCCCCCCGCCAACTTTCTTTTGCCTCACCCCCCCTCTCTCTCTATCTCTCTCTCGCTCTCTATCTCTCTCTTCCTCTTTCTCCTCTCTTCTTCTCTCTTCCTTTATCTCTTCCTTTCTCTCTTTCGTTTGTCTCCTTTATGTCTCTCTCCCTTTTTAACAAATGAACCCTTTCCCTTCCCCATTCTCTTTAAAAAATTCATTCCATCTCCCGTCCAAGTCCCCCCTCCCCTCCCCCCTTCCTCTTTATCTATTTATCTCTCTCCCTTCTTTTCTTGTAAGATTCGCCCCTTTGGTTAATTTACCCTCTCCCCTCCCCTCCTCTTTCCCGTCTCCTCCAAGCCTTCATTTCATTCTTTCTTTACCAGTCTCCACGCCTCAGCCACTTCTATACCCCCGTGTCGTCTCACGTGCCCCTTGCCGACCTCCTTTCTTTCCTCTTTCTTTCTGCCTGATATTCCCGGTCTTTTTTTCCCCTTCTTTTTTATTTTGGACAGAGACAGCTTGGTTTTTACCTGTTTTTCAGCCAATAAATCCAACGCTATTCTTTCACCTCCGAACTGCTGTTCATTCTCGACATCACACCAATATACACAATTTTACCTTTGGGAATTTGTTCAAACTAGCGCCAGCTTTCCCCTAGGTCAATTCCTTCCTTATTTTCATTAAAGTGTAAGATATGCTATTTAGTGAAATACCTTAGGAACTGAGAAAGAAAACTGTTTTAAACGTACGAGAAATTAAAAAAACTTTGTCCAGAACTTCATAGCAACATGTTTTTCTTACTTACTCAAAGCACGACTTCTAAAAGTTGTAAGAGTGGTCGTTTATTAATTACTCTAGAGAGGACAGATCTATTACAGAAACCTGTAGGCATATGCAAAACCAGCGCTCGTTGCAGAAATTCGAGTAACGCAAATATTTCACTGGTCTGATTTGTGAGTCATTGTTGTTACCGTTGTACAGGAGCTACTGTTGCTGTTGTTGTTGATGCTGCTGTTCTTGTTCTGGATTCTGTTTTCCTTTCTACGTCTGTCCATGCCGTTGTTGTTCAAGCAGAAAACGCTAGTAAAATTAAACTGGGGTCAGTTGCTTCTATTTTAGTCCTGATCAGTTTCGTGTGGCACAGTTATGTAAATAGATTTTTAATATTAATTTAATTAACTTAAGGTTTTTAAGGAAATAGAGGGGCTGTGTCAATTTCGGCACTGCTTGTTTTCATAAAACACATATCAATCTCATTTTGACAACATCGCTCTTTCATTTCGGTGTTAGAGATATGATAAAAATACACAAATAAGCAACACACTTTGATAATCAATTTTTATCTCTTTCCAGTGGTTAAAGCTGTTCGCAGTGTATAAACAGTATGTGACGGTGTTGTTTTGCAAAGAATAAAGACTTTGACATTTGACTGAGAAATCAACCTGTATACACTTCAGCCCAAGCATTAAAACAAACACAGAAAGATTTAGAGTTCGTGCCGATCCGGTGGGGACTCGGTTAGCATAATAATTTTCTGCTAATTTTGGCTTCTGAGATTTCCTCACGAGGGTAACAGCTCTGGCGACAAAATCTAATTCTATTCAAAGGTACAATCAAATTATGGCAAATTGTGAACGCCAAAGTGGACGAATTTCAGGACGAATACATGTCCAAGGGAATGGCTTCTTTACTTGTACGTAATGTACCTATGCATGGAGGCGAACATTCCAAGTGGGAAGTGTTCCTCGGTTACTCCTGTCCTTGTTTCTGAACCCCTGCTGCCCTTGATGCTTGCACAGAGTCGTGTCAGTCCGTCCCGAACTGTCAGAGGTTACACTGGCCTGATGGGACGTACACACGAGTCCCCCTTGTCGGGTCTTCTGGTCAGATCAGAGAAGAGCATCAGACCGGCTCAGAATAATATAGACCAAACTGTCTTCAACAAAAACAAATACATCAACCAATTTTCTGCTCTTACTCATGGTTAAAGTCCCTTTATATCTTCTAGTGTGATAAATATAATTTGTCATTCTTTATGATGTCAGTTATGACATATTTGTTAGCCAATAACCACCCCCCCCCCCTCTCAAAAAAAATAAAAAATTATCAATTACAAAGACAACCCCCCCCCCCAACAACCAAAAACAGCAGCAGCAAACAACAACAACAACAACAAAAAACTAAAAACAAAACACCCCCCCTCCCCTCAAACAAAACAAACCGTTTTCGCACTTTTATGACTTTTAAAAACTATCAACGTTGAAGTATCCAGAAGTCACCTTCTCATTTTTAGCCGAGCGGACTATCTATAACTAAATAAACATCCCCCACTAGCAGAATATAGTCAATGTGCTGTAGTTACCGACGAAAGCTTTTTCTTTTAACTGTGAACTTAAAAATAATACACGTCTATTTATTGCATGCGCTGGCTCTTCTAATCTAAAAATTGCAGTCCGTCGCTCCCCCAAATCTACCCCCCCACCCAAAAAAAAAACCGCCACCCCCCCCCCCCCCGCAAAACCGTCTCCCCCCGTTCCTCCCTCCCTCGCAAACCTATTTCCTCACTTGTTCGTTCTTCATCCGTCCATTGTTTCACTCACGGAAGAGCTAGACAACAAGCAAAAAATAAGAACGGACATTATCTCCAAGTTGTTCTCTTCCCCTCTGACTTCTAGCCAGATGGCTCACTCTTCAAACCTTGCGGAAGAGCTGTGCTTAGTGTCCCGCACCATGTGGGCCATCACTCACCTTCGGGAGGAGCGTCCAAGCAGAAAATTGATCAGTCCTGATAAAGCGAAAGTTGAGATAACATCTTCGCGTCCGGGCAAGATAAGCTTTCAATCAAGCGCGGCGCGGATTTGTACCGTGTGTTTAGATCCCCCATTAGATCTTGGGCAACTTGCGCTAAGAGGAAGTCAGCCTGTTCCATAGGTTCACTTCCGCTTAGAAAACAGAGAAGAAACATACTATGATTAAGATGGCAATTTCCATAATGGTATAGAAAAAATATACACAAATTTTTATACAAAAATAAAACAGTCCTCACCCCATCCACCCCCTCAAAAACTCAAAATCCAAAGTAAAAAAAGAATAAAAAAAGAAAAAGCCCTGATAATGGGCAGAAAGAAATATCGTTTTTATGAGCGAATCAATATTATATAGTGTCTGTGGTGGAGCGGTTAGGCGCTTCGCTGCCGCACGCAGGAGACCCTAGTTCGATTCCAAAGTAGGGAAACATTTTATCGAGCATTTCGGTCGATCTGCTGGGATGTTGCATCACTCTCAGCCCAGACTAACCCTGAAAGGCAGTTAATGTTTTCAAATTTTTGAATTTGTCAGATTGTTTCCTGCTTGGAGTGCACGCCTTGTACTAATTTTCCCCCTCATCTTTATCGTCTGGGTTTATATCTTTAGAAAGTTTAAACATGTTATTCTTCAGCATTAATTCTGACCGGAATCTCTCTCTCTCTCTCTCTCTCTGTCTGTCTGTCTGTCTGTCTGTCTGTCTGTCTGTCTGTCTGTCTGTCTGTCTGTGTCTCTCTCTCTGTCTCTCTCTCTCTCTCTCTCTCTCTCTCTCTCTCTCTCTCTCTGTATCGTGTTGTTCATTAGACTATGTTGTATGTACACTGGGAGTTAAACAAAAGACATATGAAAGGGAATTAACTCTGTCATCTCAGCTCTAATTTCAACAAAATTATATTTAAAAAATATATTTAAACAACGGGACTTGAAACTTTTCAATTTGAGGAAAATCATTGTACCTGTATCACGTTTTTAAATTTTTAACCGAGACTGAGAAAGCGCACAATTTTACCTCTTGAAAGTGTAGCTACGGATGCGTATTTGGTGCGCTCTGGTTTCACGACAAGGACGGTAAAACCACGATCGCTGCATCAGACAGACATTTCACTGTGCGCAGAAAGTTCTGGAGACATTTGAGGAGGAGAAAGGTCATGCTGTTGATGAGACCTGATTCCATTAAGATGGGACCACACCCAACACACTAAGCGTGGCCCTTGATGTTGCAAGAACAGTTGGGGGGACGCTTTAAAAGCCGAAAGGGTTCAAATGAATGATCACTGTATTCCTCCATCTTGAACTCCCTCGGTTGTTTTCTGTAGTATTTTATGATAAAATCTACAGAAATAACCAGGGGCGGCTCGTGGGGCTAAAAAGTGGACGTGCACAATTCAGCTATCGCATGCTGAAGACAGTCAAGGACATAGTAAATGAGACGGTGTATAATTTTAGGATCTTTGGGTTGGTGAGGGAGGACCTGTTGCTTTTATTTTCATTGTTTTCACTTGTCACTTTGACTTCTAGTACTAAATTTGTTTGTTAGCTAAACATCAATTTCGTTCATCCTGTATTGGAACTGAGTACTCAAGTAATAACTTTCACTACTCCACTACAAAACCATTCAAAGGCACAACTCACTCACAGGACCGTCACGTTCACTCCCCCCAGGTTAACAGTCACAGAGTCACTTAAAATAGTGGCAGGACCATAGAATTATCTCCTTTTAAACCTATAGTGTACATCTAGGCCTATGGGCAGGACAGACAATGGACCAATAACAATTCACTTGAGCACACCGCCGGATTGCTCCGTGACTCACATAAAAATGGCAAAGAATAGCGCAGGGTCTATCGCATTTATTTCTAGACTGCCAACTGCGGGCTATGTTTCGGCACTATTCGGCAGGAGCACATTTGAGATGTGCCGTCTTATTAATATTAATGTACCGCCAAACTCGCTACGAGTGTCGTCATTGCTTGGGTTATCCCCAAGAGCGATTTATAGGTCAGGTTAATCTGTTGAATATCCTGTTATGTTTAGCTAAAGTGCGTGGACTTTGGCATGGCATAGTAGACGTTTCACGGCGCTATAGACACAGAAATGACAGTTATGGCACCAGTTAGGACCTTGTTGTGATATAATATTTGGCTAGTGTTTGTTTCTGGCTTCTTTTATTTTATTATTGAGGGTGTTTTACGTAAAAGAACGTAAAAAAAAAAATTGGGCGGCACTGCACAACCGTGCTCTATGGACGAACTGTGCCTAGAAATAACCCACAAACAATATCAGACATTCAAAACTCAATGTTAAATGGAAAGTCAAAAGAATCTACCCTGAAACATGCCATAGGGTTATCTATTCTCCTGTAGCGTATTCGACCTTTTCTGAATAGAAAGACCTGAAACATATTAATTCAAATAGCCACTAGCTACCCAGAGTTTATATGGCGATAAAAATTCTATATACATCTGTTCTTCAATAACACATGCCGGTTATGGTGGATTAATTTACTTCATATGGTAAAATCTGACGTAGCCTTGTTTGAATTTTACTACTTTCAAATGTTAAAACTGACCTTGCGATCACACAGATATTGCCCATTTAACCGGGTCTCCGTTTTCTTTTTTTCTTTTTTGAAACCCGATACTTATGTGAGAAAATATGCAAGAAAGTTATACAACTTTTGTATTGCACACAAAAGAATCCGATTTCTTTTACATCAGGACAACTCGTGAAAAGAATATCGGTTTATTTTTTCTAATGCACAAATATCGACAAATTGTTCCTTCGCCATCAAACTAAGAAACATCTCGTCGATTTGAATTATTAGAGTGTGTCTTTGATAATGTATATCTAGTATGCGACTGGAACAACTTTAGTATCAAGTCTTTTTTGTGAGGCTCTTCGGCAATCTCTACGAACCTGTGTAGGCCATAACCTTCCATAACAGACAAACTTGTGTAGCATGTGAAATTTTATTTCCCCTTACCTTAAGGAGGGCAATTTCCTGCTCTCTGTCAAATTCACTTTTCCTCTTGGTTTCTTGGCCTTTTCGAAAACAATTTCATCACGAAGTCGCCGGCAAGGGCACAGCGTAACAAGGCGTTTTCGTCCCATTAACGTTTACCTGCAACCTGTCACCTTCCAAAGAATAGCGTGCTGTGTGATGGCCTGGCTATGCTGATTCATGCAAATCACAGGTTAAATGGATTTTGTCTTTTTTTTGTCTGCGTTTTAGTTTGTTTGTTTTTGTTTCAAAACACAGGTAAGGTTTCAAACCTATTGAAGAGTCTAAACAGCAGCACTCTTTTCAACTTGGCCCGTAAGCAAAATTGGCTGAGACTCAGAGCCAAACTGTGGGCCTAGAGGTTAAGGTGTTAGTTATGTTAGCCTCTCATTCAAAGGTCCCGGGTTCGAATCCGGGTAGCGACCGAAAATAAATTATATTCTAAAAGTGTTTCCTTTCAGCTCCTTTCCTGCTCTTTTGCAATGTTCTGTCGTCTGCTTTCGTCTCCTCTTTCTGCCCCCACCCACTCACCTCCTTTGCCCCCTCCTCTGGGCTCATGATTTTTTCTGCAGCCTTTCCACTGCTACTCCTAGGCTCCTTCTTACTGGTGTCTTTCAGCCACACCCCTGATCTTCTGGTAGGAAAGATCTACACCTGGCCTTCTCAGAAAAGGGCGAAAAGTCTCGGAGGGCCCGTGTGCAAGTTGCGCAGGTTAAAGATCCCTTGGTGATCTAAAATCGGTAAGAATAGGCTTCGGTCACACCCCTGCAAAATTCAAAATTTCCTACCAAATGTAAAAGTTTAATGTGTCCCACCGCTCGTATGACCTAATGCAGTTGCGAGCGCCGTAAAACACTTACAAAAATAAGATCCAAACTGAACACAGGTTGATTGATATCAAACCAATGAGTCGAGCACAGCTTAGTACAAATTTCATTTAAAAAATTGGTGTAATAGATATGGGACAAGGAAAATTATATAACAGACACATTTATAGTCACATGGCATTTAAAGCATGGTATAGATGACATTAAACGAACAGGGGAGTTGTCATCGTTCTAGTTCTTGCGCACGATTTTTTTAAAGATCCTGCATTCTACCTAGGCACTATGAAGTGAGATCCAGCACTATTAGAACTTGCCAAAATAATGTCTGATATTCATTTTATATTTGCTCTATATGGCCCATTAAAAAACAACCCATTTTCCACCCAGCCCCCATTTTCGTAGCATGATGCACCAGTTCGCATTAGACCTTTCACTAAGAGTTGCAACAATCGCGCCATATTGCGGGCTACAGCAGTCTAACAAGTCGACAGAAGTTTTCAGATGTTAGTTTTTCACAAATTTCCTTTGCCTTCTGAAATCATGGTTAAATTTAGTAAAGAACAGAGAGCTTTTTCTATTGAACATAACCTCTCCACAAACACATTATCTTCCCTGACATTTCGTAAGTTCTGTGCACGGTATCGAAAGAATGGTTAAGTGCCCCCAAGACCTTTGGTGTCATGAGTAGAGAAGTTCTGTCAGTTTGGATCTGTAATGAATCAGAAATAAAACTTTCCTTTAAAATGACCACTTCAGGTCGAACACAAACCAAACGCAGCCTTTTAAACGTCCTTGGGAGGTGGGGGGGGGGGGTAAATTTCAGTAGCCCAGTCTCATGAGACGTCTGTCCGTAGATGTAGCTATCAAAGCATGTGATCTCCCCCACCCCCCAAACCCGCCCCCAAACTCACCCCCCCCCAAAAAAACAACAACAACAACAACCCAGAAACGAAACAAAACAAAAAAACTCAATAAACAACAACCCCCACCCACCCCCTTTTCTCCCCTACATCTCCCTCAAGTGTTTGTTTTGCAGAATAAAGGCAGCATTTTACTTGTGTATTTTAGATTCACTACCCCCCCCCCACCCCCATCCCTATTTTCCCTACCTAGTTCTTGTTTTTGTTCCTGATGTTCTTTTTCTAATCGTTTTGTTGTTGCTCTTGTTATAGTTATTTAAATTGTTGTTGTTGTAGTAGTTGTTGTTGTTGTTGTTGCTGTTGTTGTTGTTGTTGTCGTTGTTGTTGCTGTTGTTTTTGTTGGGTACAACCCCACTTCTGTTAAATAATATTTTAAAATTAGAGCAAAAAGATGGATTAAAAAAAACAACAACATAAAGGAAACAAAACCATTAAAAAGGTACCGCATCTGGCCAATGTCCAGGAATTACTAATTTATCTCCTAATAAAAATGATTAATTGAGGCAGGGTATATGTTATTGAGGTTATTTCTATTGGTGGGATGCAAAGCAGACGTATTTCATTATCTCGTTAGATACACTTGTGAGGCGTCGTAAGGAAATCAAGCGCTTGTCATACTAATAATGAAGAAGCCGGGAATTTATTTTGGTCTTTGGGGAATGTTTTTCAAATTAAATTTTTGTTTGTTTGTTTTTTTGTCGTTGCTTTTTTTTTGGGGGGGGGGGGGTCAGAACCTTTTGAAAAACACACTTCTTTGTGGACTTTAGTTTATAAAAAAACAACAACAAAACGAAGATGAGAAGTACAAAAGAAAGAAGAAATTTGACCGACACCAAAAGTGGGCATTGCCCTACCTATAGGAGAAGTTTTGTTTTCATTCGTGTGTATAGATCTACTTGTTTGGTAATAAATAAAACTCTCCTTGTCTTTTACAGAAACTGAACAAGGGTTCAATAACTTTACCATCAATTTTTTCAAAACAGCATTTTTCGGGATAGCCTCCTGGTGCTTATAAGCGACCAATTACAAATACCTCTTTTATTCAAGTTAAATTTGCATTTTCTGTTTCCGTCATAAGCAAGATGTATGCGATTAGGCTTTAAGAAGATGTCAGTAACTCTATAAACCCAAAAACTGACGAGCGCCTGATTCCACCATGTCGACGACACGTCTCTGTAGGGTTACTGATAAGGAGAAACACACCGACCTTCACATTACGGGTTGGTTTCAGTAGTTTCCACCCAAACACAATTGTTTATCTTCTACGATTATGTTGATCAATTATTTTTAGGTCTTGTAACTGTTCAACTGAAGAATCATAGAAGCTTTAGTGGTATCGTAAACAACAATAAGGTAGAGCGAGAGAAAGAGAAAGAGAGATAGATAGATAGATAGGTAGATAGATAGATAGATAGATAGATAGATAGAGAGAGAGAGAGA